ATTACAAAATCTAAAATGCTACACAGGGACTAAAAAAAAGTATGTAAAATAAAAAAAATAATCTAAAATGCTACACAGGGACTAAAAAAAAGTGTGTAAAATAAATTACAAAATCTAAAATGCTACACAGGGACTAAAAAAAAGTATGTAAAATAAAAAAAAAATCTAAAATGCTACACAGGGACTAAAAAAAGTGTGTAAAATAAATAAAATAATATAAAATTATTTATTGCTACACAGGGACTAGGGATTTAAACATGGTAAAAACTGTTAAACAGAGATGAAAGCACAAAACTTTCATTGGTAGTAACATAAAACTAACCAGTATACTAAGTAATTACTTTTAATACTTAATTAATTCATTTTTAATTCAAAATTCAAAAGTGACAGTAACAACATTTATAATGTTGCAAAATATTGTATTTTAAATAAATGTTTTTTGTTTGGACTTTCTATATATCAAAGAATCCTGAACAAAAAAATGTATCACAGTTTTCACAAAAATATTAAACAGCAATACGATTTTAACACTGATAATAAGAAGAAATGAGCAGCAAATCAGTATATTAGAATGATTTTTTTGAAGGATCATACGACAATACAAACTGCAGTAAAGATGCTAAAAATTTCACAGGAATAAATTATATTTTACAATATATTTGAATAGGAAACTTTTTTTTAATTGAAATAATATTTCAAACTATTACTATTTTTACATGCTCAAAATGCAGAATTGGTGAGCATAAGAGACGTCTTTCAAAAACATTCCAAATCTTACCAAGCCGAAACTGTAGTGTAAATATTGAAGATGCAACCCAAACGTCAGTTTCCACACTTACATGATCTTGTGTTCTTTTCCTCAGGGCTCTTCCCAATCTCCAACCACTCTCAACCCCTCGACCCCTGCCTCTGAGCGAACGGTCGCCTGGGTGTCCAACATGCCCCATCTTTCTGCTGACATAGAGAGCTCCCGCATCGACCGAGAGGAATACAAACTCAAGGAGTATTCAAAGAGCATGGACGAGTCGCGTCTGGACAGGGTGTGTTTCTCTCCTACTCTACTAGCTATACGACATGTGTTCTGAGGGTTTATTATATTCATACCAACAGAAATTGTCATGCTAGAAGGCTGCTGTGATGTGAATGTTGTGGGCTTTGAATTAGAATCACTTTAGGGTTTATCCCTTAGTTTCTTGGTCCAAACTCGAGCTTCATTCTTGTCTCTGTCCTTGTGCAAACATGCCACAAGACACTCAGTTGTGTCTCCCACCTCAGCGCACAAGTGTCAAGGAAATGCATATCATGTCTTTCACCTCTGCAACAGATGGTGCTGGCAGCCTCATTTATGCATTATTTAAATATCAAATGAGAATGAGCAGCCTTCTGCAGTAAACAGACTTCAGGAGAGAGCAGCATGGGCTTTCAATCAGCTCTTGACCCTCTGTCCTCCACTGTGCAAATTGGTGTAGAGGTGACACGCAACTGCTTTTCATTGTTTCACAGTGTGCCTGTTAAAAGACAGCTTCATATTCAGCTATGAATCAGCGGTTTTTTAAATACATTTTCTCATTCCCGTGTGGTTTAGGTGAATTTGCTCATTTGCATTGACTGTGGTTGTCCACCTAGGCAGCTTTTTTATGCATGAATGACACGTTCCTTGTGGAAAAGCTGCGGGGAGCAAAATCATGCTTGCTTGTAAACCAGATGTTGGCCAAAATCTGAAAGCTGCTCATTACTGGAAAAACCACACTGTTCTGAAAACGACTGAGCTACAAATATGCGCAAACAGTCATTATTTACCCTCATGCCATTCTAAACCCGTATGGCTTACTTTCTTAGTCTTTATTTCTCACAAAAGATGACATTTTGAAAAATATTGTGCCCAGGATATGCTTCAGAAATGTCCCTTTTATATTCCACATAAGAAAGGATTTTGGAATAAGATTAAGCAAATGCCCACTACTTTTAGGTGGTGAATGAATTTTTATTACTGTTATTACTTTTTTGCATTGCAGTTTATTAAATCCATTTAATAGATCATATCTTATTTGTCATTTTCACAACTTATTCTGTTTATTTTAATACTTTCATCATACTTTTTTCATTTTTTTTTAAAACGTATTTTATTTGCAATTAATGATTTAATGAAATACTAATTATTTTTTATATCATTTTAATTGTTTTTCACTTTTATTAAGTACTTTTTAATGTTTATAATACTTAAGACTTTTAACTAGTGCTGTCAAATGATTAATCGCATTCAAAATAAAAGTTTGTTTACATAATATATGTGTGTGTACTGTGTATTGTTACGGGGCTGACCAGACAGGAGATGTGCGGATCCATAAGCAAACTTTATTTAAAGCAGAGGAGGTCAGAAACACAGGCAGGGTCGAAACAGTGGCAAACAGGTATATGGCGGGCAAGACACAAGAATAATCCTAGTGCTAGCGAAGGTCCATGAACGGTGAACAGAATCAAAAGGGGCAAGACTAAAGGGAGAAATCCAGGAAAACAGGCGAAGATCAAAACTGAGAAAACAGGCAAGACTAGGCTAGGAGGCTAACGGGGCTCTATTCTGTTTATTTTAATACTTTCATCATACTTTTTTCATTTTTTTTTAAAACGTATTTTATTTGCAATTAATGATTTAATGAAATACTAATTATTTTTTATATCATTTTAATTGTTTTTCACTTTTATTAAGTACTTTTTAATGTTTATAATACTTAAGACTTTTAACTAGTGCTGTCAAATGATTAATCGCATTCAAAATAAAAGTTTGTTTACATAATATATGGTTAGCCGACGGAAGTTCATGGACCGGATTCGTGACAGAGCCCCTCCCCCCCCCAAGGAGCAGCTTCCAGATGCTCAAAACCCTTTATGATTCTGGAGGGCGGTGGAGTGGAGGCGGAGTTACGGGGCTGACCAGACAGGAGATGTGCGGATCCATAAGCAAACTTTATTTAAAGCAGAGGAGGTCAGAAACACAGGCAGGGTCGAAACAGTGGCAAACAGGTATATGGCGGG